TTATTTATTACATTTAAAAAACAACTTTTTTTAAAAAAAGATCACAACCTGAATATAAATGTATTACTCACATATCTAAGTTATTAAACTATGGATATCTCCATCAGGAAAACAACAAAAATTTTGAAAGTACACACATATATCCATATATGGAATGTACATAATATATAAACACCTAAGTATGTGTGTCTGTGTTTATATATACATAGGTTTATGGGTATATGAAACACTCCCCCATTTATTTTCAAAAGTTCTCCAGATCAAGCAATAAATTATTCACCCTATTTATAGGTTTTTACTGAATTAATGAAAATTATACTGCTTTGTCTATTTCAGAGACTTGAATTTGTAAACAATAAAACCAGCTTTTCTATTGATTCTTTTCCCCTTAGTCACTTAATAGAGATACTTCTGAGCACCTACAGGTAATTAATTAGCAGGGCACAAAGAATTAAAACCTTCTAAATTTCAAGCAAATATCTCTGAGAGAGTCTAGTCATTCTATATAAAAACATTTTAATAATTATCTTACTATTAAAAAGCCAGTCATTGGGTTTTATTTATTTATTTTTTTAGTTGAAGATGGACAAAATATTTTTTATGGTGCTGAGGATGGGACCCAGTACCTCACACTTGCAAGGGAAGCACTCCATCACTGAGCTCCAGCCCCAGCCTCAGTCATTGTTATGTAAAAAAAAAAAAAAAACTTGTTGGGGGCAATTCACAACTTTATGGCAATTAAGTAGTTATGCTTAAATTAATTTAACTGGCCCTTGAAATGGAATAAACCATGCCTTAATTTTTATTTTTTTTTTATATAGAGGCATCTTGAATCACTGGAAAAAATATAGTTTTTGCAATAAATGATGTTTAAACAACTGGTTACTCAGGTAGAAAAACAATGCTCTAATCATACTACGTACATAAGTTTTTACAAAAATGGAAGCAAATGAGGAATATTTTTATAAATATGCAAGTTAGGGAGGCTACAAATAACACACTATATAAAACCTTAAAACTTTGATATAGTAAAAGACATCAAAACCAGTTTTAAAAATAATGAACAAATAAGCATCCAGAGTAGGCGTTTCTGACCATTCATAACTTTTAGTTGGTGGGTATTGGGTTGTCTGATACTATGCACTATGAGACCAAATGGTTAATGGCGCCGCCACTAGGATGAAGTTCGTGAGATTTTTTTTGTTTGGTTGGTTGTTTTTTTTAGTTGTATTTGGACACAATACCTTTATTTATTTATTTATTTTTATGTGGTGCTGAGGATTGAACCCAGGGCCTCACACATGCGAGGCAAGTGCTCTACCGCTCAGCCATAATTCCAGCCCCTCGTGAGATTTTTGATGAATTTGAGTCATGAAACTGTAACCACTGAATTGAAGAATGGAACACAAGTCCATGGAACAATTACAGGTGTAGATTGTCAGCATAAACACAAATCTTAAAGCTGTAAATATGACCCTGAAGAACAGAGATACTGTACTGCTGGAAACACTGATTTTTCAGGGAAATAACATTCAATCCTTTGTCTTACCAGACAGCTTACCTCTGCATACCCTACTTTGGATATTGAACCTAAGGTGAAATTTAAAAAAAGGGAAGATGTTGCAGGAAGAGGCTGAGGCCCTGGAAAAGGAAGAGGGGGGTCTGGGATTGTGGCTCATCAGTAGATTGCTTGTCTAACACGCGCGATGCCTGGGGTTCGATCCTCAGCACTACATAAAAATAAATAAATAAAACAAAGGTTTTATTGTGTCCAACTACAACTAAAAAATAAACAGGCAATGCAGAACACAAAGTAAAGTGTCATTAGACATTTAAAATGATGCTTGACTCCCAAATAATTCAAATGTAATTAAGTTCAGAGAACATTTTTTTAAAAATCTACTGGAATTATAAATACTAATTGGTACCAATAAAAAAATTAAAAAAAAAAAGTGAACAACCAATAAAAAAATTTAAAAAAAAAATAAATAAATACTAATTGGTAAGGATGTACATTTTTAGGTTGACACTTCTTAAAATGTGCATATAGCATTGTACCCAGCATGTTAGAAATGTACTATATAGAAGTATTCTAAAAGCATACAAAAAAACCCATACCAGACACTTAATGAAAACTTTGTTTTTGCAACAGTGAAAAATGAGAGACAAGTCAGGTACAGTAGCACATGATTGTAATCCCAGCTACTGAGGAGGTTGAAATGGGAACATAACAAATTTGAGGCCAGCCTGGGCAACACACAGTAAGAAGCTGTGAAAAAAAACAAGAAAGGAAGAAAGAAAAGAAGGAAAAGGAAGAAAAGAAAGAAAAGACACAATGCAAAAATAGGAAGCACTTAAGATACTTCGAGGCTAAAAAGAAAGAAAAAAGGAGTTACAAAATAGTATGTGGTATAATTCCTTTAAAAAAAAAACACTAATATATGTTGGCTTAAGTGCTTAAAATAAAGTTGGAAAAAATGTACCAAACCTTTAATAAATTGTTACCTTTAAGGAATGTCATTATGGAAAATGTTCTTTTTATACAATGTTTCTATTAATCTTTTATTTAATATAAATTACCTTTTAAAATTGAAAGAAAAGGCAGTGGTTTATAAGTATGGATTCTTAAGATGGGTTTCTAAATCAAATGTTAACACCGAAAATGCAGAATTTTAGGAAAATAAAGACTCCTTTATGGTTAAAGGAGATTTTGTTTGTTTTTTAAAGAATATCTTTTAGAGATCCTTAGTGAAATATTTAGGGATTAAAAATACAGTATTTGCCTCAATTTGTAGAATGTTGTGTAGACAACAGAAGATTGGCCATGAATTGATGTAAATAAGTTGAGTTACTAGAACTGGGGATTCATTATACCATTCTTTCCACTTCAGTGTGTTTGAAAGCTCCATTTAAAAAATTAAAATTAGTGCTTACTTTGGCAACACATATATTAAAAGTAGAATAATATGGAGAAGATTACCAGGACACCTGTGCAAGGATGACATGCAAATTCATGAAGTATTCCACATGAAAAAATAAATAAAGCCAAGATGTACTACCCAAATAAAGCTACAGAATACTAACAAAATCTAACTATACTAGATCACAATAGTTCAAATGTTTCATCAATAATCAACCTGCTCTTTCATTAGTAACATTTTGCTTCTAGAAACTGTTAGGATAGTATGATATTTATTTATTATAATACATTTTGATAAAATGAAAGTTTTGGACTATGTAGTCTGTATGGAAATGTTGTAATTGGTAGAAAACCACTGGTAAAGTTATTCTTTCTACTAGGTATCAAAGGAGTAAGGCAATTTTTGTCACCACCAATTAAAAACTTTTACGAAATAGGACTGTTATAAAACAATTAAACCTTGCAAATGCACCAGTCTCCAGGAAGAAAGTCCTGGAGGAAATTCTGCTTATTAAAATTGCAATTTTAGTTTCCATTAAAAGGAGAATAAGACAACAGAAGATGGGTTGGCAAGACAAATTATTTCTTAATGTCAGTTGAGCTTATTTCAAATGAGATAACGTATCTACACCAGGTTGGGTTCAGTACAATTTTGTCTCTTCAACTCATTTATCTAATTCAGTCATCTTGATTATAGCCTCATGGACTTCATTTTCAGAGAAAGAATTCTGTAACAAACAACCTACACAACATACTGATTACTGAACAGTTAATTCTAATTAACTTGGGCATGGCAAGAGAATTTTGATAAAGTCTTAGAATACAAATATAGTCTGCTTATACTGGACTAACTTATATAAAAACCCACAGCACAGTCTCCAGACAAAACAAGAGAGTCAAAGAGATCTAATTTAAAGAAACAAATGAGAAAATTAAAATCACAAATAATTTATTCTTCTGTTAGAGTTGATACAGTTTTAAATAGCAACAAAGTACACAGTGGTGGAAAATTGGCACAGAACCTATAAGCATTTCAATCACAATAAGGCTGTCCATGCTTTATCTGCTCAAACTTGATGTCCATTTTCTAATGACCAAGTTGGAAAAAAACCTGTTCTTACC